TTAATTTTAAGCATTGTGCAGACAGAAAATCTACTATTTCACTACATGAAGGGAATAATATACCGCCGGATTTAAAATCCTTGATCGCTTTGAAAAAGGTTCCGGAGACATGCACGCGTCTGAATCTTCGTCTAATGTTTTTAGTCCAAACAGGAGAAAAATAAAGCACAAAATCACCATCGATTTCCAAAATTGCAAGGACAAGGAAACTAAATTTCGACATTTCTTGCTCAAGCGAGAATTATAAATGATAGAAAATTTCCGACTTTCGTTAAATTCCAATATCATCCATGCTTGAGAACTATTACCATCGAGACAATCAACGGAGCGAGGCTGAACACGGCTGTAATCGAACAAAGGCTCAAATTCTTCAGCATAATCCGCCTGAAACCAAGAACTCAAAGTAAGAAATGATAAGTGAGAGAGGAGGAGAAACCACGAGTAAAGACGATACAGAAAAGCGTCCGAGCCCATTAAAGAGTTAAAGAGACTTGCCATTGTCAAAGGCCTCGAAATCTAAACTCTTCCGCTTCTTCTCCGATCAATATTCGTTGGATCCGGCGGGAAAAATTTAAACTCACCGTCCGTTTGAAGTCGAAGGGTTGCCTAGCGAGATGCCTAGCGAGATGCCTATTGAAACTTTCTTTCGAATAATGGGTCGGTCTGCATGTGTATCCAAATCGGTTTAGCGGGTACGGGTCGACCCTAATTATTTGCTCCATTGCGCTGGGGCGACCGAACTTCCAAGTTTCGAATGTGATCCTCAAATCATTTTATTTTCGAATTTTTATTTACAAAATTTTAAAATGTTTTTAAAATAAATCTAACTTTTAATTTCAATTTTGTTTTTTAAAATTAACTAATCTATTAAATATAAATTTTCTCTTAAAATTTTCAATTCTTTTTGTCTAAACCCCTTATTTTAATAAATATTAAATACAAAATTTAAAATTTCTAAAATCCACGTAAATTTAAAATTTTAAACATTTATTAAATGTTTTAAAAAAATTAGGACTAAATCAACGTAATTTAAAATTTTAGTAACTCAAATTAAAATACAATAATTTTATTAAATTGAAAAGTCAATTGATCAAATTGAATATTATAATTGTCACAATAAAACAAGACGCTATAATTGATATGATTATTCTCTAACAACTACAAATATAGTTTATATTTAATCATAAAATTGACTTCAAAGAAGCTACGTTGAAATAGATTAAATACAAATTTAATATTCGACATTTTTTTTTATAATAATTGATAATTTATGATTAGATTGAATTAATTGTATACATTATTTTCGTTCATGAGCTCCAAACTCCAAAAGACTTGTTTAATCGTATACGACGCTTCAAAATTTATATTTAAAATAAAAAAAAAAAACAATTTTTTAAGATAAGATTTTTGTCCACCCCAGATTCCCATAATGGTAATTTTTTACCAAAGTTTTAAAATAAAAATTGTAATGAAATGAATCAAAGTTTGAATGCAATTAAAATATGGAAATGGAGGTCAAAGTTTGTTTCATGGATTAAATGAATGATTTTGCAAAAGCTTTCCATTTTAAGATAATAATTAATTTCAATTAAATTAATTGATCTCCCATATATATATATATATATATATATATCCACACACAAATTATTAAACCCTTGGGACTGTGAATTTGTGAAAAATAAAAAAAAAAAAAGAAAAAAAAATGGGGAGCAAAGGCATTCCAAGTTTTGCCAAAGGGATTCATGTTCTTGTGGTGGATCATGACAAGCACTCTCTCCAATCCATTGCTTCAATGCTTCAAAATTTCTCATACAAAGGTATTTTCTTTATTATTTTTCCGTTTTTTTTTAAATATATTTTTTAATTCTCGATAATAATTTAAAAAGAATTATGTTTTTTTCGTTATGTTTGGATTATTTATAATATAAATTTAATCAGATGTTTCTTATCATTTCAAAAGTTGATGGTTCGATCTTCTATTGTAAAAATATTTTTCTATATATATATATATATATGTGTATATATAGAAGAGGAATGAAACCATGCATGCATGCATGATGAAAGGAAAATATTTGTAGAATCTAAAAAAATTATATTAAAAAAAGAAAAAATCAGCTAACCTTTGTTCTTCCCAGTTACGACCATTGAAGAAGCAGATGCAGCTTTAACAATGATTATAGAGGAGAAACATGAGCCGTTCAACCTTGTAATGGCAAATGCCACTGAATCGAATATGAATGCGCTCTCGATTCTGAATCAAACTGGCATTCCGATCATCTGTAAGATTCCAGAATTCCTATGTTTTTTTTTCTTCCTGGATCTTTCTTTTTAGAGCTATGTCTTCAATAATTGTTCTGAAGCTTGCGATTCGAGCAGTGATGTCGCCGGAGAGGGATATGAAGACGTCTGGTAGAGCTATAGCTGAATGGGGCTATCACTTCCTCGAAAAACCGATTTCAATGGAGGATATCGAGCTTGTTTGGCAAATCGTATACAGGAAAATCAGAAACCCTAGGGCGAGGAATTTGGGAGAAAATACGAATCAAGCGAAGAAATCTCACATTGGCGGAATGTTTGGAAGAGTTTTGAACGTTGCAGGAGGAGTAGAGTGGAATCCGATTGAAGAAGAAGAAGAAGAAGAAGAAGAAGAAGAAGAAAAGGAAAAATGTGGAGACAGAGAAGCGAGATTGAAGCCATCAGCGACTGTGTTTGATTACCTGGAAACGATGAATATGGAAGAGAAGACGAACAGAAATGAGCGCACACACAAGAGGTCGCGGATTGTTTGGAGCTCGAAATTGCATCGGAAGTTTACAGAAGCTTTGAGCAAACTTGGAAATAGAAGTAAATTGCTCGTTCTGTTCATGTTCATCCTGTTTTTGCTGTGAGTTTGATTAAATTGTTCACCGATTTGTTTGATGATTTCTGTGTTCACAGAATCGAGCCCTAAAATTATCCTGAAGATGATGAATGAGCCATCCTTAACGCTTCGCCAAGTCGCAAGTCACCTCCAGGTTCCCTCTAAAATTCATTCACTCTCTCTGTATGGGAATTGAAGTTCATTACTATTACTATTGATATTGGCCTATTCATGTTTTATTGGCTAAGTATATGATTATTTTGCTACTAAAGTATATGCTATAAGTACATTAGTATAACCGATCCAATGTATATCAAAACGAGAATAGTTCAACGATAATTAACATTTAGTTCTTTCTTGTGGGCTTTTGAGGAGTGACAGCATAGGAGGCGCGATGTGGTTCCACATGCAAAAAAGACCAAAATTGGATTGGAAGGTTGGATGATTTAGAATGGACGCAAGTCATTATCTCCACCAAATGTTCTTAAAGTCGCATCGAACAGGGAAACACGGTCGATCACGTAGTTAACCAATATTTACAAAGGGAATAAAACAAAGAGGGTTACTCTTTTAGAAACATGTTGTTGGGGGTTTAAAATTTTGTACTTGGATGTTCGTTTGATGAATGACAAATGTTCAAATGTTCGATATCGAAAAAGTATTATATTTTAGCAATAAATTTCCCTTTTTGAGTTCTATCACTAACTTTGCTTCTGATTTTCAGAAATTCAAATCTCAAGTGAAGCATCTAAACAAGATGACAGAAAGTGATGCATCCACTTCACTTGGCAAAAACCAAGTTCAAGAGTTACCAACAAAGCGCAATAGCATGACAAACATATTAGGCCAACCAACTTACAGCTCAAACATTACAGGCAACCAGCTGAGACAACTACAGGTCCCGAGCTGCTTGAATGCTCATAGACTGCCTTCTCAAGATGTTTTCAATTGTCATCTCAGGATGATGAACCAGCAAAACTCATGTTCATATAAAAGTACTTATGGAGGATTTGAAGGGACAAATCTCGTCGTTGACGACAACAACCGTATCTTCACCGACGAGCTTTACATGAACGAAAGTTTATCTCATTCCAACTTCCAATACTTTGGTGGGGATCATGAAGATTGCCCCTTCCTTTCAGCCGATAATCACTACCCACATGCAGTTCAAGAGTTGGAATTTTCTCAGAACATGGCGGGCTGTTATGATGTTGACAATATCAGGTCGGGAGCGCATTCGGTGATTGCAGGGTCTTTGAATCAGAATGTTGCACTGAAGGAACTTGATGATTTGCTGAACAATACGGAAGAAGATCCGATGGTGTATTGCTGTTATGATGGTAAGATGAACTCGTTTGACATTGATCAATACTCAGAATGGCTAAATGCATGACTACAACTTGAAATGGGATGAAAATACATACATACATACATACATACATACACACATTCTAAGTTTTGAACCAAACACTGATCTGCAACATTAGAATTGGAGGCTATCATCATGGCTTTGAAACTTGTCTTTGCCACCAATGTTGAGCGTTTTAGCTTCTTAGTTCAAAAAAGTTGTGAGGTTTTTGTGCTTGCAAGCAACAACCATAAAGGGAAATGAGTTTGCAGATTCATTTATTAAAGTAAATAAGACATCAGCTGATTCATATCATTTTCAGACCACAATATTCCATGTTTCAGTTTAAAATGCTATTCTATGCAGCTTTCAACCTTCATACAATCAAATCAAATTTGCTCCTTCGGTTTCTTCTTCCACCTAGTATTTACATTCCCGAAATTTTTATAAGTGAATCAATTTAGAATCTCATTTTAAAATTATTTAAGCATAATTTTCGCATGTGCAAAAATCTAATAATAAAAGATTTTCATTGGCTTATCTTACTATTTTTTAAAAAAGTACATGATAATTTTCTTAATAGAATCAAACAAAAGTAGTTACAATCCACAATTAATTTATTAATGAAAATTTAGTATTTAAGATGATTCAATCATTAGTGTTTGTCTTTGTATTTATGTTTCACCTATCCATTTTCGGGGTAATAGGGGTAAATAGGTAAATCCACTCTGGTCAATGTCAAACCACCACTCAAGACGTGCAAATCCTCACAGATACGTACAAGACGGGAAATGAATTAAATTCTGTTCCTTCCTAATCAGTATGCAAAATTGGGATCAAAACAATAATTTCACAACTCCAAACCAAAAAACTCAAATAAGCAGTCATCAAAAGCAGAGGGAAATGAAGACAAAGAATCAAAGAATATAAATAACAAAAGTGATCATCTTCATTTCAAGCCCATCTAGGAGTATTTTGTTTCAGAAGGCTATCACATCCTCCCTACCTATGTACCCAATCTGATCGTAAAAAGGGGCGATGTTCGAGGTCAGATTCTTGTTCCACTCTCTAATCTGTTCAGCATGGGGCTAGAGTCCTGTGTGTCGAATCTCATCGGATGCTGAGGTTGAATGTAGACACTCTCCATTTCTAATTGCTGCATGTTAATATTATTGGCATTCGGAGACAACGCTTGAACTTCGTTGCGAGACTCTGCTAACATCTGAAAGTATGCATGAGGTCCCCAACCTGCAAATAAAAGGCGCAAAATTACAAAAGAGTTAGTTCAAGAACGAAATCAATGCTCAAGAATCAGATTTGGAAAGACATTAATGCTCAAGGACTGCTTTTATAGCAATTGCATACAAGAATTAGAAAGACAATTACAGTTGTTGACTACAGATAGGATATTGTTACTAGCTTTGAACCGGCTGAACAGAAAATGAAAAAATTATAACGAAGGCAGTAGGAAAAGCTTGGGATCCATCATAACAAGCCGCAGATTACAGAATTCCATGAATATATGGATCGGATGGTTACATCATCTTATAATGCACTGCAACAACCAATGTTGGTCGACGGAAATCATCTATGGAATCACTAAAGCCATAATTGACTACAATACAATGGGTAGTTCAGAGCAGCAACTATTTTTTTTTTTTTTTTCATACATTGGAAAAGTAAAACTAGCTGCAAGCGATAAAAGAAGAAAGTAGACAAATCCTATCTTTTCTATATGCGCACATCTATACAGATCATTTGCCATAATATTCATTTATCTAAACAACTATATCTTACAGCCACTTCTTCCGGTCAACAACATTAAAAATCAACAATCTAAGCTTGCTTTAAAATTAGGACTAGGGCAAATAAAATCTGTGATAATTAATGAGGTCCAGATCCGACAACTCAATAATCCAGATTAACATCCCAGCTAAATTTGTAATTTTATAATGCTACCTCATGTTGGACGAGGAAGATTTAGTTCAAACGATTATGTTATCACCCAACCAATCAATGTTTCTGTTAACAGGGTTATAAAGTTATAAAATAGAGAATAAAAAATAACTACTTTGAACCATGCGAGAAGGATCTCAATGCACGGTCAAAGAATCAAAAGTAGGACTAACATGGAACAAATGTTAAAAAGTCGATTATTGGGAAAAAGAAATGATAAATTTATCATGGACAAATTATTGCTTCATTGAATGTAAAAGTAGAGCTACTGTCATAGCATTAACGATATTGTGGACCATACCATGAATGAGATAAGGCGCTGGAAAGAATTGCAGATAACAGAATGAAGCAATTGTCAGTCCTGCAAAGAAGCTTCAGATAAGAAAAAAGCAAAAGGAGCGTGTATGAAAGTCAGAGCAAATGAATAAAGATTTGGATTAACTAACCGAGAAGGCCCCCAGCAAAAACATCTTGCCAGTGATGCCAATAATCATCGACTCGAGAGACACCAACAAGAGCTGCAATAAGCAGGGGTAGGAAGACAATACAAAGTTTTGCAACGTGGCCCCTTTGGTCAAATGCCCTTATTTTCCCAGACAAATACAAAGCAAGAAATCCAAGGCCAGCAAAAGACCCTGCATATCGACAGCTTTCTACGTTAATAAGCATAAACAAAAGTGAGAGAAAATAAACTGAAAAGAAGAAAAAAGACAAAGGTGATGCGTTTGTCACAAATAAGCTATGTATGCATTAATCCAAAACATGAATTACTACTTATGGTGAAAAAAATCAATGCCTTAATATGTCTACCTTGGATATCATAATCTTTTTGAAAGGCTCAACTTTGAACCTTTAGAAAAAGATGCAAAGTTAAGTGCTCTCAATCCAAAGAATTTTTAGGCTTCAAGTACAATGGGAAAGGAGTGATAAGACTTTGTAGATTAGGCCAACATTGTCAATCTACGACTGGATAGTCAGGATTGGTAATTTTAAAAAGATAAAAGTATACTTCTATTCAATCATCTACCAAAATATGGGATCTGAATAAGACGCTTGTAACACTGAAAGTAACAAAGGAAGTGTGTCTAATTCCATAAAACTGAAATTACAGGTGCTGAAGAAGCAAAGCTGATACAAAATAGTAAGAAGCTTCCTTTGTCCCTGGGAATTGGCACACTAACACTTTTCATTTCTTCAGATATTGGCTGCCAGGAGAAAATATAAGACATAAATGGTTGCTATTTAGTTCCCTCAGCAACATGCTGAATATCATTGCCCTTTTGAGTGATAATTAAAAATAAGGAAAGCATGTTGCACTTGCACAGGGATTGGATCTACTCTATGTAGCATGTGCAATTGTTGATGTAAATAAATAATGACTAAAAAATAGTAAAATAGAGACTCACAGACAGTCATAAAACATAATTCAGAAGTATACGTCTATCTTACAGGAAGTATGCCCACTCGGGAAACTTTTATATCCTTCTTTAATAACATTCTTATCTCCTGTACATAAAACACCGGTTGTGTTTCGATCAAACACCTGCACATATCAAGCACCAATATTATAATGAGTGCCAATGTTAAGAAAAAAGGGTAGGGGCATAGGAACATGGAAGACGTTTCCATGTGCACAAGTATGAAAACCAGGGGAGAATACATAAATGAAAAACAAACCCCTTTGCCATCGGGGAAACAGCGCCAGTAGAAGTCTGGACGTGGCCGACCAACAGCATCCTTAATAGCATCAGTCATTACTCCAGTTATCAAAACAGCAAACAATAGTCCTGAACAAGCATGAGCAATCGTTAAATGTTATGCTTGGCAAGGTTGTCCAGAACTACAAGGTTTTCCAATGATTATAAATGAGAGAGGAAGAAGAGATACCCAATATGGCATGGTGGAGATCATATACATCCTTTCTAATGAAATAGTAGATAAGAAATACGATAACAGGTATCAATATCGCAATTATCTGTAACAGGAAAAACAAAATTTTATTTATTTTTACTTTCACAATAATGTCAGGAAAACAAATGACCATAGAATACACTATAATACTAGTAAAGACAGTTTCAAAACATACTGGAACTGCCCAAATGGGAACAGTATTATCTTGCAGTGGGTGTTTGAGGTCTGTCATCATCTCCTGTCCAACAAAGCGATGAAATGGTTCGATAACGTTTAACACAACCTCTATCACCACAAGAAGCAAAAGGATTAACCAATCATGCATATGGATTCTTGCTAAACGAGCTCCATGAGACCTCACAGTATGTGTACCCAACTGAATTTCTGGCATTTTGTCCGTGAACTGATAACATAAGAAAATGAAAATAATTGGATTGGTAAAGAAAACATATTGTGTAATTTAAGCACTATCACGTAAGAAATTGAATTAGTGCACAGTACATGGGGCTTCTCACGTACACAAAAATAAACTGTATAAAAATAAAGCAAGAAAAGTATGATCAGAATCAGTCATAACCATGAAATTTATCATGAAATTCATATTACACAAGGAATTTTCCAAGAGAAAAGCCGAAAATGATGTAAAGTGACAAGGATCAAACAAGACGAAAAAAGGAACTTATACATTAGAACCCTAGTAGACTATTCATGCCAAACAGAACGAGAATAACCAAGCATGCATAACAGTGAGATTACAGCAAAAAGTAAATGTGTGCTTCATGTAACGAAAATGTATCACAGTTCTTCCAACAGAAATTCGTTTAGCAAGCTTAAACGTAGAGAACGAGTTGAACGTACAGTCCAAGGAGCATTCAAACTCACCAAGCCTACCTAACTCATCTCAACTCTAGAGTTGCTATCAGGCTCAAAACACACCTAAAAAGCTTCAAACAACCGCAGAATAGTGAAAGAGAAAAGCATTGAAACAAATATCTAAGAAGATGCAAGAAACAAGAAACACAATACTGAAGTTAGTAAGTAATTCAGAAAATCAACTTATTCAGAAAGATTTGTCCACATTTCATTTCATCTCATCTCATCGAAGAAAAAGAAGCACATCTTGCAGCGATGAAGTGAAAGAGCGAACCCGCAGAGTGATTAGAGAAAGGCAAAACAGAACAGAAAAAGAAAAACGCCATAAACAGAGAAGCAAGAATGGTAGAGAGCAGAGAAATTACCAGTAGATTCCAGTTTGAAGAAGAAGAAGAAGAAGAAGAAGAAGGAAGAGAAAAGGTAGGTATGGAGAGAGAGTTGATAAACCAAATCCCTTACGAAATTTGAATAGAAAAGCGCGTGGCGGTAAAGAGGAGTGGGAACTGCGAAGTAACTGCTCTTATAATTAATTAAATCATTTTCCCTAATAAACCCTCAATTAAATAATGCCTAATATTTTATTCAACTATTTCATAGATAACCTAAGCTCGGATCGGATTTAAATCTACGGAAAAAGAGCTCCTTTCGACGCTAAACGGACTTAATTCTATTAAAAAATAGCTCGGTTTCCGAATAGATTTATCCCTTCGTGATATAGATTAAATAAAATATATTAGCTGTTTTATTAGAAATTTTATAAATATTTTTCAATAATAAAGTAAAAATGGGATATTCCTGCTATTACTATAAAATCAAATAAATTAAAATTTGAAATTAATTTCATAAATAATTATCCTCAAATGTGTTATGTTTCCATTTGTGTTATTGGTTTTAATTATAATTTTCTATTTAAAAAAGAAAACAAAAAGATAGAAATGTTTACTTTATTGTACTCACTAAGAAATGGAAATGGAAGGGACATTAAATAATAATAATTTTAACAATAACAATAAATATTATTTTCCTTTTTGTAGCTCCACTAAACAAATATCAAGCTTCAAAAAATATATTAAATGTAAAAGCTAAAATAAATTTTATATTATTTAAACAAAAGTAGAGGAGGAAAGTAGGTGGAATATGAAATTTTAATTTATTTTTTATTTTCTTAAAAAGGCTGGGGATCAGACTGGCTGTTGCAGTAATAGTAAAAGTGTAACAGAATCCCTTTTTCAGTATTGTTTTTTAAAATTAAACTTTTAACTAAATTAATTTTTAGTTTCTTAATTTTCAAATTTGTTTCATTTATAAATTTAACATAAAATTCAAATTTAAAGATTTTTTTTTTAATTTGTCCGTATACTTTCATAGTTTATTGAATAAACTTGTAATTTAATGTCATCCCAAATTTATACAACATGAGGTTTTTTTTATGAAATGATTTAAACGGAAAATGACTTTTCTGTTGTTTGTTTACTTGTCAAGAAAATATACTCAAAATGTTCATTTTCTCGAAAAGATAAAAAAAGAAAATATAACATGATCTAACTGTTCTTCCTCTTAATATTTTGATTCCTAATTTGAAACTTTGTAATTCACTAAATATAAGGTTACTCTCTATCTTCACTGAACCTCTCTTCGAGATAGTGCCCAGGTCGTTACGCCTTTCGTGTGGGTCGGAACTTACCCGACAAGAAATTTCGCTATCTTAGGACTGTTATAGTTATGGCGGCCGTTCACCGGAGCTTCGGTCGCCGGCTCCCCTGTCATCAGGACACCAACTTCATTGACCTTCTGGTACTGGGCAGGCGTCAGCCCCCATACATAGTCTTACGACTTTGCGGAGAGTAAATTCATCATAAAAATGAAAGGGTAAGAATGAAAAGCTGGTAAAATAAGAAGGGCTAAATTGCATATTTTTAAATACAAGGGACTATATTACGAAAAAGAAAAGATACACAAAGAGAAGAAGAAAGAAACAGGGTTATTGGGCAGCCCCCATTTCCATTTGATGGTAGGTTTGGTTATGGAAAGGTCTTGGCTGTCCCCCTGCAATTGGCGCATCAACAATCACCACAGATTGAGCTGCTGCTGCTGCTGCATTATCCCTGCTGCTATAGAACTCCTCCTGTGCTATGAAGTAAGCATATGGACCCCATCCTACAACCACACACAATCCTTTAGGCCACAATAAACACTACCAACTAAGCTTAGATCGATACTTAAAAAAGTGCGTTTGACGTTGGTCATGTTTTCGCTGTTTTTGAACGTGCTACTGTGTTTAAGAACATTGGAAACATTTAAAGGACGTTTTCAAAATCTTCACTTTTGGACCATAAACGTAAAAGCGTGTATTTCGGGTCTACTTGGAATGACTTGTCAAGAACTTTAAAAAATGTTTCTAAAACACTTTCGTTTATCAGTACCTTTGTTGTTACTGGGAGGAGGGAAGAATTGAAGGTAGCAAAATGCAGAAACGACCCATCCTGTCAAAAGAAACGATCATTAAAATTCACAAAAGACACGAGAAATCTAAAAACTAATCACTGTGAATCAGTTGATGATTGTAATGTTTTAGCAGAAACCTATAATGGCTCCAGCAAACACATCTTGCCAATGGTGCCAATAATCATTCACTCGAGAAACTCCCACAAGTGCAGCACCAAGCAAAGGGAGAAATACAAGGCATAGTTTTGCAACATGTCCTCTCCCATCAAATGCTTGGATTTTTCCAGATATGTACAGTGCAAGAAATCCCAACCCTGCAAAGGACCCTACAAAACAAAAAACATGTCACTAACACTAACATATCCTTCAAACACACATTACAAACCATTTGCTTACAAGAAGTATGGCCGCTCGGGAAACTTTTGTGTCCTTCTCTTATTTCGCTCTCTTTCCCGTGACATATCACGTTTCCCGTTCGATCGTATGCCTGAATCGATAAGAAAAACGTCACGCTTTATAAGAATAGCTCTAACAATGTATGTTTTGTTTCAATCTCTACCAAAATGACATGTTTTGTACCTCTATTCCATCAGGAAAACAACGCCAAAAGAAGTTTGGTCGAGGGCGACCAACGCCGTTTTTTATAGCATCCGTGATAATAGCAGTGATCAACACAGAAAACAAGAGACCTATTCATAGAACAAATGAACATGGATTGTTAGTAAAACATTAGTGAAATTGTTGGACATATTTGGAATGTTTTCTAAGAGCTCAAAAAAGTGTTTTTAGCTAAGCACTTAGAAACTCATTCCAAACACGCCCGTAATCGCTTTTTATGGGTAACTTGTCTTAGTTGCATAAAGAAAGTACCTAAAATGGCGTGGTGAAAATCATAGACGTCCCTCCGTCGTATATAGACGATCAAGAATATGAAAATGGGCAATATCACAGCATACAACTGACAAACAAAAGGGAAACAAACAAACACTGTTAACTACACGGCTAAGATTGAACATATAATACGACTTATGAATGTAACAGAGACCTATTCTGTTTAAAAGATAGACAAAATCTCGCTTTCTTGGCTGCAAAAGTTAAACTGATTGAATCAATACAATCAAAAGACACATCAGGTTGCGTCAAATTCCGCTTCTCAAGCGTTTCAAAAGTGTTTTTAAGAACTTAAAAGGTCATTTGAAATAGAATTTTCCTCGAGAATATGAACATCTTATGAATATTATCAAAAAGTGGAAACAGACAAATAGAGGAGAAGAGAGAATAAAGGCTAAACTTACAGGTACAGACCAGACAGGTACTGTATTATCTTTGAAAGGAAACTTAAGATCTGTCAACATATCCTTTCCCACATAGCGATAAAATGGATGAACAGACACTAAAATCACTTCGATCACAACAAGTAGTAGCAAAATCAGCCAGTCATGTAAATGTTTCTTAGCAACCCTGGCTCCATGGGATTTGATTGTATGTGCTGCAGCATCTGAGCCCTGAAAAACGCTCAAAAACAAAGAATCGAAGGCAAATTTCAACAAGTTTTCAAACAACAAAGTTATTCAACTTTACAGAATTATTACAGAAAACGGACCTGAAATCTACTGGAGGAACTGCGGAAGGAAAAGAACGAAACGAAATTCCTCCACCACGCCATTGATTAACAAACAGATGTGCTTCTGAAATCTTCTAAAGAATCATCGCTTATTTAGTGGCGGAATATATAAGATATCAAAGATTCCACACGCTTTTCTGTTTTTTCTTTTCGTTTAATTTTCTCCTTCGGGAAGAAAAAAAAAGTCCAATCTCCAATGGAAATGAAAAGAAGTTGTCAAAATCAAATTCCAACTACTAAATGAAGAAAATGTTGGAAACTTCTTAATTACCTTATAGACAAAAATGAAAATGCCTCACAGTGACTCAATCCAATAGTGAAACAGAGAGGCTAGCAGTTGACGACGAACGGCGATTAACCGTCCAGCGATTCATCTCTTTATACGGCGAAATGGAGATTGGTTAAGAAGACGAAATTTCTTGGTTAATGCCAGTTTTTAATACAGACGACGAGTTTGAAATGTTCAACTCGTCGATTGGCGAGTCTCGTCGTTTGGGAGCTTTGACTGTTCTTCTACGCGCGTACTGGTAGTGATTTTAATGTCTCCCTACCCTGGCGGGTTCCGAACGCGCAGCTACGACGTTTATTCATGGGAATTTATTATTATTTTTTTTCCTTCAAATTTTTATACTAAAATATCACTTTAGTCCTTATTTTGAATTTTATACATTTTTAATTATTTAATTTTTGCCTATAGTTTTAATAAATCTTAATTTAGTCGTATACTTCTAATAAAATTTTAAATTTAATCATTTAAATTAATTAACTAATAACAATTGAATAAAGATTAATTTTAACTGTTCATTAATTAAATCTTTATACAATTCAATCGATTATGGTGTTTATCATTTAATCTCCACAAGAAACGGTAAAAATCACAATAATAATGAATTATTATATTCAAATTTAGTTGAGTAAGATTTAAATTATTATTGATATTTTAAGTTTAGTAGATAAGAATTAAATTATTATTGTAATTTAACCTTACAATTATTTATAGAATATTAAATTCTTATAATGTTTCATTGAATGGGCTTGGAACATGTAGTTGTGGCAGTTGAAGTCGGCCAGTGGAGGTTGGGCCTATTGACACTAATCAAACGGTTGGGTCAGTTAATAATGGGAACGGACTAATGAGAGTTAAACAGTTAGGTGTGTGTCCGAGTGCATTCCGATGCAACATGGTCACGTTTTTTACTCTTTGTCTCTAAGGGTTGCTCTAAGTGAAACACGCTTAACCTTGAAGTTTCTATGAACCACTTAAAAGAAAGATACATCTCGTCGATACATATAGTGATTTTCAATTCTTTTATGTCTTTCTTAGTTATCATATTTTTAAAATCTCTCATTTGGATGCACGAATCTCTCTCATTCGGATGTGGTCTTGATTTATTCATGTACTCTTCTTTTACTTGGGTGTTACATTATATTAAATATGCAACTGTCTAAGTCCACAACTAGTAGATATTGTCCTCTTTGGACTTTCCATTTGGGGCTTCTCCTAAAAGTTTTTAAAACGTATTAGGGAGAATTTTCTACACTCCTAAGAAAAATGCTTCATTTTCCTCTCCAATCGATGTGAGATCTGATAATCCACCCCTACACAGTGTCTTCGTTGGCACCAGTTCTCCTCTCTAGTCAATGTGGGATCTCGCAATTTACACCCTTTTAGGGTCGGTGTCTTTGCTGACACTCATTTCTCTATGAGATATGTCTCAAATGCTTCAAAAATATTAATATTTAAGTTTTAATTAAATAATTAAGAATATTGCAAGCTAAGTTTGACAATTAAACGACAAAATACATAGGGTAAATGAAATAAGGAATTAAGATATATATTGGAAGATATTTTTCAAAGTGATGGATCATCCCTATCATCAAGTTGCCAACTTGGTGGGTCCATGTTAATTATCTTGTACAACAATGTCTAGTGATCAATAATTTTACCTTTTCAACTAATTCAAATTTTCATTTATTAAGATAAATACATTTACTCAATAATTAAAAAAAAACATTAAATCAATTCCTTAATTTTTTTTTATAACGATTTTGTTCCATTTTTTTATCAATAAAAAACTCCATCACAAACTACTAGTTTTTAAACAAAATTTTTACCAAAATATAAAAATAAAATTTGAAAAGTAAAAAAAAAATATATATATATATTATTTAAAGAAATAACAAAAAGTATTAATGTGAAATGATATTAAAGCTAATTTAAGGTGAAATGTCAGAATCTTAATTATTTTTTATTTGAATTTTTATAAACTGTCTTTCACCTGTCCTATCAATTTCCATTAAAATACATAAGAACTATATGTCTTGTCACCATAATGTAATTAAAATTAGAGTTTTGTATAATCTCTATCATTTATGAGTTATTCAGGCAATTTCTCAATAATATAATGGGTAATCATGTTTTGTTTTTAATTTAAATGAGTGGGAAATTAATTATTTAATTTCACTTTCCATTGGAAGGAAAAAAATGACCGACCATCGACTCAAGAGAGAAATAAATCATTTTTTACAATTGTCTGAAAACTTCTTCATATTAGACGCATTTTAGATCGTAAATCTAATGATGACGATATGTAATAGACTAAAGTGGACAATATGTATTAACTGTGAGGTTGAATGATTGTATTTAAAAGCAAGTAGGAGAGACGGAAAGCAAAGCGGTTTGGTTAGGCGCTTTGACAAACTGTTTCTTAAAGTGCTTCCAAATGTAATATCCCTCGATCTTCTTTCATTTTCATTATATTGTCTCTACCAAACCCTTCAAATCTCTGCGCATTTTCCAATATCAACCATCTCTTACTTCGATATTTGTGTTTTTTTTTTTTGGCTCAATGGCATGTAATCATAGATTCACACCTTACCTTAAAAGAATATCGCCATAACAACTGGTCATAAACTACGTAATATTTCATTTTTACGATTTCAATTAAGATTTGAAATTCGATTATGCTACGTGATGATCTCGATATTCTCTTATGATATAACTATGTCATCTACTCGTCTTGAATTACTTTTAAAACTGATAACCTCTCTTCGTCAAACTAAATTATTATGGAGGTATTGATGTTTTATTTGGAAGGAAGAAGAGAGAAAGATAAAAGGTGTCGTGTCAACAACACGTCATTAAGGGAAGGGTTGCTTCAAAGACCGAATAATGAGAGAGTCCATCTTATCCGATTGCGTAACCATTAAAGGAAAAAAGGACAACACCTACACTACCCTTTCATACTCCACATGCTTCCCTACATACCTACAAACGCAACCCAGTTCGGGCCGTTCAAGTTCATAGCTCGAACCCCATCTTATTAAGTAGAAAAATTGATTAGAAAATAAGATATTTTCATATATATATATATATATATATAACAACATTAATCACGAGAAGAAAAGGGACCAAATTTTGACCGTTATTATTAGAATGATGACCAAAGCTTATGCATTAATGTCTCCACCATCTCTTGAATCGAATGCATTTATTTTTATTTTTTTTATTCTCTTTTAATTTATTTCTTTTTGTAAAATACTTTCTGAACGAATTTAGATGGCACGATTAATGGAAATAATAATAACCTCTTAATTCGCAGTGGGGTCCATTACAGAACTTTTCCAAATTTTGTGCAATTTAATTTACCGGACATTAGATGACGTAATTGGTAAATTTAAATATAAGTATAAAATATAAATTACCCCCACCCCTAAAGTTACTGAGCTAATAAATAAAAAATTAATAGTATAAAGTTGAGATGCATGTAATATGGGGCTTAAATTTGAAATTAAATTAATGGTAAATGAGAATATTCGGAGAATTTAAGGCGGGATGCAGGTGACGTGGTAGCTTCCAGATTTAAAATTCTACGGTCTTACGTGGCGCGAGATCAGGTCAATGACATCAAAAAAGTATGTCCACTACAACCACCTGATTTCCCTCTGCATCAGAATCTCTATTTTTTACTGTTTTTTATTTTTCTTAAAATAAAAAAAAAGGGTTTAATTAAGTAATTTCACATTGGCTTGGCAGTTGGCAAAACCTTGTCGCTTTACAGCACGGCATCTTCGAATCACACGCGCTATGTCTGTATACGCGCTCATAATAGTAGCTTCGGCGAAGTAGGTGGCCAATGGGAAGACGCGTGGTTTGCAGCTTGGTTGCTGCATGTGGGTTTGTAATTATATATATATATATTTTTTTATCTTTTCATTTCATGTTTTAATTTGAAGAAATCTCCGAATTCCGCCACCAGATTGCGGCCGAGACTGCGCTTGTCTCTCTATTTTGCCTCAAATAATAATAATAATAACAATAAATAAAATTTATTGGAATTTCTGAAAAGATATTTATAGAATTAAATCCTAATTAATTTGTTAACCCATCTAAAAATACATAATTTGTTTTATATGTTGATTTACTTATTTTTGTTCAACGACAAAATTGAAAAAATCCTTTAAATATTGACATTTTAATTCAAAGAATATTATTTCATTTTATCTATATTCCTTTTACTCCTGAGTTCGATTGAATTTGAATTTACTTTTAAAAAGTATTTTTAAGTCAAAATATTTTAGAACTTAAAATTTTATATTTATCGTAAATGTGTATACTGAACCAACCTTATTATTATTATTATTAATTACTTAAAACCATAGAAATATAACATTTTTTAATTAAAAAAATTAAAATATAATTACCATCTGCGCAAAATTCCATAAAAGGGAAAAATCCCACAGAAAGTAATGAAACGACGACGTATTTAAAAGAGGTGAGAGGACAAAAAGAAAAAAATAAAAGCAAAAATTCAGAAAATAAAATGATGATCCAGCAAACAGATACAAGCCCACACACCTTCCCATGCAACCCAACTGGAGCCAATCAGTGTGCTTAGCTGTCACCCCGTATGGACCCGGTCCGGTTTATTTTGTCCCCCTTTTACCTTCATTTTTACCACCGTAAAACAATAGAACAAAAGAATAAAAAGTTGACCCTCCATTTATATGGAAATCCCATTTGATGCCCCAAATAATTATGGAAACATTGGAACTTTTTTTACTGTCTCATCCCCAACGGAGTAACGGTAACTCTCAACGCCCCCCTTGATTATTGCTTTTATTTTACCTTTTTCCCTAATTTGTTTAATTATTTTAACTGGATTTTCAGGAAAGTGCGTTAATGATTTTATTTTTATTTTTTTAATTACTGTCCTCCGTGTTCTTTAAGAAAGACCAAAAGTTGGGGTTTTCTTTTTCTCTCGCCCCTTAGCTTTCTGCTCCCAATTTCCAACTCCGCCCTTCCTCCGCCGCACGCCATGATGGAACCGCCGCCTCTGACGACCGCTCAGCCGCTTCCGACGGCGGCGTCGCCTCAGCTCAATTATCCGGAGTCGTTGGACTCATCTCCGAGGTCTCGCAACACGGACACGTGGGATGAGCCGCTTGCCCCCGGCCCTCTAGCAGGCCGTCTTCGTCTTATGTGCAGCTACGGCGGCCATATAGTCCCTCGCCCTCACGATAAGACTCTGTGCTATGTCTGTGGTGAGACTCGGATCGTTGTTGTCGACCGCCATACGTCTTTATCTGACCTCACTGCGCGTTTGTCGAAGACGCTTCTCAATGGTAGGTCGTTTACCCTGAAATATCAGCTTCCGAACGAGGACTTGGATTCTCTCATTTCTGTTACCACCGATGAGGATTTGGAGAATATGATTGATGAGTATGATCGGACGGCGAGCAATTCGTCTAACCCTGCGGCAAAACCCTCGCGACTTAGGTTGTTTCTGTTCCCGACGAAGCCGGATGTTTCTCAGTCGATCGGGCCAATTCTCGAGAGCTCGACTAGTTCGGAGGACTGGTTTCTGAATGCTTTGAATGGTGCCGGTTTTCTCAATAGAGGTTTTTCCGATTCTGCATCGGTCAATTGCTTGTTAGGGCTTGATGATGATGTTGGTGTTAATAACCTCGATTCGGGTCCGAGGGAGGCGGATGGTTCTCAGCCTGGGTCGTTGGGAAATGGTAAGAGTGGAAAACAGGATATTCATTCTGTCCCTGATTCACCCATGATCGAGACGACATCGTCATTTGGGTCTACCTCTTCTTCGCCTTCTCTCGCGAATTTGCCGCCGATCCGGGTTCATGTGGAGGATAGCGTCAATAGCGGTGGCTGTGGTGCTGCTGCAGTTCGAATTCAAGATCAGAAGGTGGGAGTTGAGGAGCAATTTTCGCAGATGATTATTGGTCAAAAACAGCAAGATGAAGCTTTCACAGCACTCTCATCGCCGCCTCCTTTACCTACAACTATTGTGGCTTCTGCGGCGGGCTCTGCAATACCTGTGAGCTCAGCTGCCGGAGTAGGTGTAGGAGATTATACAAACCGGGTGATCTCCGATGACGAAAGATCGGATCACGGGGCGCCAGTCGGATACCGGCAACCACTACCACCTCAGCCACAGTCTCTGGCCCCCCAATTGCAGCAGAAATCAAGTGGACTTGTTGATATTCCTTCCCCGGATTCGGTGTCAAGGTACGGATTGCTTGGTTTTCTCGATCAAGTTGGCATAAATAATTCTGCTTAATTTTTATCATCAATTAGATTAGATTTGTGATGATTGTTCTTGAGGGATAATTGGTTGGTTGTCTGAGTTTTGTGCGTTTTCGGTTGCATTTTGTTTCTTCAGTGATACTAGTTTAAACAATCAGATGTCTCGCTCAAAACCTGTGATGTATCAAGAACAAGTTGTTCATCAAATTCCCTCTTCAACCGCTTGGCTTCCTGGCAATCCCGCAGATCCAGAAGTCAATATTTCTGATCAAAACGCTCGGGTTCATATTCCACAACAGGTCCAAGAATCAGGATATGTGTTACAATCTCATTACGATCAGCATCAACATCAGCAACTTCAGCAACTTCAGCAGCAACAGCAACAACAGCAGCTTCAGCAACAACATCAACAACATCAACAACAGCAACTTCAGCAACAACATCAACAGCAGCAACTTCAGCAACAACATCAACAGCAGCAACTTCAGCAACATCAACAACAGCAACTTCAGCAACATCAACAACAGCAACTTCAGCAACAACAGCAGCAACAGCAGCCACAGCAACACCCATCTCAACCACAGCAATTCATACATGCAGGCGCACACTACATCCACCAGCACCCATCTGGTGCAGTTCCTATTCCAGCATTCTTCCCTGTATATTCTCCTCAGCCCCATCATCATCCCCATCAGATGGAGCAGCAGTATCCAGTCTACTACCTGCCTGCTAGACAGGGCCAAGCTTATGGCAATTTGCCAGTACAGCAATCTTCCATCAGCGAGTCTGCCACTGCTATTCCTCCTGGCCGGCCCCAAACCCCACCCAATCCAACTTTGGTTACAAGTGCAGCTTACAACCACGTAAGGAATGCCCCTATTGCAAAAACTGAAATGGCTGCCAAGGCATACAAACAGACAACTACAGCTGCTCAGTCGTTAGTTCAGGTTCCGACAAATCAGCATCAGCAACAATATGTTGCCTACAACCAGGGTTATTCTCATATTCAGCATCCATCCCAATCGGTTGCACCTACATCCGCTACTGCAAATTATGCCTATGAATTTTCGGACCCTGCTCATTCTCAGATATACTTTACTCAACCTCTAGCACCTTCTCAGTACCAAGCCATGCCAGCAGCTGCTGTAATGCTGCCTGAAAATTCTGCTCAGCATCCCACTGACAACATCAAGCCGCAGATGAGAACTTCACAACCATTATAGTCTGTTCAGAAAGAAGAAACAATTTTGGAATAAAGTATTTGGTTTTGTTTACAATATTCTATATTATTGTCTGTCTTGTTATTGGTATCTATTGGTTTGTGCATGTATCTGAGATAAGAGATAATAAGTAATTGTTGTTGTCTTCTTGGTCGTGTGTCATATTATTTGTTTATTGTCATAGAAAATTATAAAGTGGTCTGGATATTATAGTTATACTGTAAAAGTTCTGAACTCAAACATGGTGTGCTTGTGCAGGCAATGTGCTATAGAATTAGCAAGCTTTTTTACATCGATCTCTTATCTTCCCTCAATTTTATAATTTTTGCTGATGTTAGATAATGCTTGGTTTTATTTCTGATTTCTGACTTGTAGTTCCTTATGTAACAATGCTCTACCTGCAGTCAATTGCTTATAGCATCCAGCAATTGGGATCACATTCATACCAACAGAAGTTGATCATTTCCTGGCAGTTAATCATTTTTTGTCTGAAAACTTTTGTTACTCTGATTGTGTTTACAGATTCTATGTTGCTGATCAGTTTGCATCTCCTTCACTGAATGCGGAACAAATAAAAATCATAGGCTTCCTTTTCAGCTTGGGGAGGTTCCTGAATTCTCGCAGCCTCATTAAAGAACGCTCATGTTCAGTGGCTTGCTTGAAAGGCTATGGTTCATGTTCAACAGGCTGGTGTTTAGAAGGGTGTTCACCACTAGCTTGTTTCCATCCACATCTTCCATTCTCTTGTGATCAAAGTTGGTGTGAGGCTGCTTTTTGTTCTCTGAAAGCTGTTCAACTCCCTTCCCAAATCTGTTATTTCCTTTTTCAGGGTTTCTTCTTCATACACTGAGCCTGGTACCTGTCGGCATTCTCAAGCTGTAAAGTAGTAAGGAATCCAATGAATGCACACTGTCTTGGAACATCTCAATCCATATTGCCATTTATTCCTTTTCTTTTTCTTTCCCAATAAAATGACATCAGAATGGAATCAAAGTTGATTTTTTTGTATAAGGTCTCATCTCAAAATTATGGTTGGACCGAAGTCTTGCTTTTGGTGAGATTATCAGCAGCTAATTCAGGTGGGAATTTGGCAGAAACCTTTCACATTTTGAAGTCTTAAATTTGCATGTGCCATCTGTAGTTCAATGCTATAAAATTTCATGTGATCCTCTGTTACAATATACAAATGCCAGGTTTAGTTTGTGGTGAAACTTTTCTTACAACATTATGTACGAGCTTTGTTTCTGTTATTGGATATGGAGACAGGTTGCAGGATTTATGACTCAGATAATCAAGTTCGCCATGTGGGTTTGAGCTTATCATTCTTGTCTTTGCTTCCTAAAGACGCTGCTTTGCATTGTCATCACTTTCTGCCTTTAACTACTCTTTTTATAATTACTAACATACAGAACTTTGCATTGTCTGGAGTAGGTAGTTGGCGAAATGATGCTCGATTCGTATCAATCGAATTTCAACTCAGATGTCCCATAAGCAACCACGACACAAAGAATGCCACTTTTTCAGATCATGTTTGGTAAGAATCGAAATGAATTTGGGAATTCCACTACTTTTTGTCCAAAACCAGACGCAATCTTATTGTAAAGGTTCTTACTGTTGCATTTCCCATCACAACTCGATGTGTATAATGTAGAATGTAACTCAAAGCCACCAAAAAATAATGACATAAATTTGACTTTTGGCTTTGTAAAGGTCCCTTGCCTTCATTTCAGTCCTTATCCCTGATGGATCTAATATTGTATATATGCAATGCAGGATCCACGCAGGAAAGCATTATCCAAAAGGCAATTAATATGTGCGTTCGCCTCAATCTTAGACTTATAAAAGCACCGATGATGAGTTTCATTGGTTCATCAATCAATTTTTTTAAGGACTTAATGTCTTCTTTGCGATTGGCCAAGCCAACCTTGCTAGAAAATGCTCCTACCATAATAACCCTTTGCCGACTGGTAAAGCTTTTTACATTTCATTCTGACTATTCATTTATATAATGGATGATATATTTGAATAAATCAACCCATGCTTAGATCATTCATGACTAAAGCCATTTATCATAGCTGAGGAGGTTCTAGACAAAGCTACAAGTCATAGATAAGGCACACCAATTATGAAGTCAATGGTTCGATCTTCCATCCCACAATTGTTGAACTAAAAAAATTGTGTTTGTGTTGGTTTAGATACCAATTTTGAAAATCAATACTTAAAAGGGAAGAGACTACACAAATACAGGTAAGGAAGGTATAATTTGTTATTTACTCCAAAGTTTTTCAGAAATGGAAATGAATATACAGATTAGCAGCCCAAATACAAGAGGAAACAATTTCAGTTAAGTGCCACTTTCTGTGGGGGCAAAATTGAAAGTGATCATAATCCACAAAAACAAGCAATACAAAGATACATACCTTTTCATAACAGGAACATTTACCTCAAACACTCTTCACACAGTGGTTCGTGCCACGGGATACAAGTTGCAGCTTCCTGCACTATTCACTCTTCTCCGTTTGCTTTCTTGCCAAACAGTTGACTGAGGAAACATGGCACACAAATTGATTAAGACACTACATTTGAGCAAACATCATCTGTTCTTTTGACAGACAAACTCCACAACTCAAGGGAGCCCATTGCTCTCGGGATCAAGAGCCACCCGTTTATAAAGCAGTGAAACTAGATTTGGAACTGTGGCAGACAGCTAGAAACGGTCGCTAATACCCAGTATGCTAGAGAGAAAGAGGAGGAATCCGTCTGAAGAGGGGCTTGCGTCTAGTTAGCTAGTTAGTGAGGTAATAGCTTTCAAAGGCGAAGAAACTCACCTGAGAGAGGATGATCACCCAAGCTGAACTGAGAGACAGCCAGTCAATGGGGGAAGATTGAAGAAAGACTCACAGTGAACAGCAATAGGTTTCGGCGAAAGCCCAAGAGGCGACATATTAGCACCTAAAATATGAACACAAGATCATCATCCGTGGCCACAAATTTGTGCAGTGTGGCATGACTCAATTAACTTCAAAAACGATAATGGAGCTTCAAAGACTCTACCAACTTTCTAATTGTGAGAGCCAGAAAATCTAACAATTTTTTCTTAGCTGGAGTGTTGAGAAAAACTAGGGTTCATAAAATACACTTTCATATGACACAACGAGATAAGACGAGGCCTACTAGCAAAATTTTCATATTCAGGTTCAATGCACACAATGAGTTATGATGACAAGGCAGATAGCCAAATTGGTTGCACTCACCTGGTCATGGCCGACTGAATTTATATAATCGCCGGATCTAGCCCATGAAATTTGTGACCGGAAAGTGTCGTCAAAATTTGTGCGGGACTGTGAAATTCGGAAATTGAGGAGAACAAAAAGGAAGCGGAGTCCGGCATTTCTCCGGTTATGGAAAATCGAAAGAGGAAGTGCATCTTTAGATGAACACACTCTCCACAATAGTATGATATTGTCTACGTCATAAACTCTTATAGCTTTGCTTTGGACTTTCGAGGCACCTTAGGGGAGAAGATTGCAATAGCGACCGCGTTTTGAGCGCCGAAAGCCACTAAATCACAGGCTCCCCAAGGAACGTTGTTCACCATTATGTTACAGCCTGCTCCTATGAACGCTCCATTGACTTCCACCTCGTCGCCGCCGCCAGAAGCCATGTTTTTCAGTAGGGGAAGAGGAGATGGCGGCCGAAGACCAGGGCCGCCGTGGGACGAAGATGGGCCTAACAGTTAGAAGGATGGGTTTTCTTTTGGGCCTAATGTCAAGCCGATCTGAGCTCAATGGGCCAAATGGGCCTCCCGTATACTTATGCCCTATGTTTTTTTAACAGCAATTTAAAGGATTAAAATTTTGGAAAATTGCTAAACATTGATATAAAAAATATTAGTAACATTGAAAAAGGAAATAATTTAGAAGACACCGGACCGTTGCCAGTGAGAACGTTGAGACCTCAAGTGGGTATCTCACATTGGTTGGGATGTGGAAGTCTCTCCCTAATAGACGCATTTTAAAACCTCAAGGGGAAGCTCTTGAAGAGAAAACCCAAACAGGACAATATCTGTTAGCGCTGAGCTTGAGTGGTTACAAATGATATTAGAGACAGATACCAAGTCGTGTGCCAGTAAGGACACTAAACCTCTAAGAAAGATATCTCACATCAGTTGAGATGTGTAAATCTATCTCTAATAGACGTCGATAAAGACGCTGAGCTCCAAGAGTGGAATGCTAAAATAGAATGAAATTAAGGAGGACATGATCATGAGAATAATAGTCAAGACAGGCAATGGGTGTTGGGATAAGAGAAAGAAAGAAAAGAGTGCAATGAATGGAGTAGAAGAGGGGAAGGGAAGGGACAAGGAGGAATGGGAATATGGGCTCCCCTACGGACGACTGTCCCTTCAACCACAAAAAAGTGTTCAAAAAACAAACACAACGCGTCTTTTTAAGTCTCCGTCTTCTCAAATTAACGTAATTACGGTGTGACTCTCTCGTTCAATAATTTTTCACGAGTACTACTCCGACACCCAAATCATGATTTTGAAAAAAAAAGAAAGAAATGACAACGACTCCTCACCATCCCATCAGTCTCCATAAGCTTAGCTACGCAGCATGAAAGTCTCTGCCTTTGTTTTTTGGTGGAATGTCAGGATGGAGGTAATTGAAGCAACAAAGCCCCCTCCCCCTTCCCCCTCCCCTTCACAGATATCATCTACACAACATGTTGGGTATCAAATTTGGTGTGTGATCTGTGTGGAAGACATGTTTTGGACAGGCCATCAGCAAGTTCGGACATGTCATGATAATTAATTATGTGTGCTCTGTGTGACATCTGACAACAACATATTTTGGTGCAGAGATAACATTAGACCAACAAGATTGTCATAATCATCATCATCACTTTCGATCCAATAAAGGCACACCAGGGAACGGGTTTCTGATTTCTCAGAGAATCTAAGTAGATCCTTTATTGTATGTAATAAATACTATGTGTTTCCTTGTCAGATAAGTGTTTCATCACTACTTTCTTCCAACTGAAGCTTCGAAGTTGTAAACAAGTGTGTGATACACATACACAATGGCTCATGTCTACTAGAAGAGTGTAACAGATTTTAGAGTATCAAAAGTAAAATTACACATGTCACCAGGACTTGGTTGAGCTCCAAATTTTGTTAGTTTAACATGCATAAGTGGGTCTCTCACATTACCTGTAACCATCTAAGTCCATTGCGAGCGAATATTATCCACTTTAGCCTATTACGTATCACTATTAGCTTCACAATTTTAAAATGTGTTTGCTTGATAGAGGTTTCCACACCCTTGTAAGGAATTCTTGGTTTCCCTCTCCAATTGATATGAGATTTCACAATCCACCCCCTTGGAAGCTCAGTGTCATGGTCATACTCGTCGAAGGCGTGTTGCCCATGACCGCATACCCATGACAAGCCAAATCTTTTATGTATTTACATGTTGTAGTGTTTTACTTTTGTATTTCTAGGGAGCAGTACGTTTCAGAAAAATCATGTTTCGGCCTGCCAAACATGAAATGCCTCACAATGTACTATAGGGGATATGACTAGTTGTCAACTTCTCTCTACTAATAGTTATGTACGGTGAGCCGTTGTTGTTACTATCTTGCTTTTATATATAACGTTTCTTTCAAAATCTCTCTCTGCCCTTGTTTTCTAAAATCTTCTTCTTAAACCGAGGCCAGAGACTCGAGAATACGTCGCTTGGCCGTAGACGACGTAAGAACGAATTGACTCAGCTCACTTGTCGTTGGAAAGTGAGTGCCGCACAATCGCACAAGTCCGCTGCCATCAAAAGTGTGATTGTGACACTCAGCATCCTGCTGACACACCGCTTGATGTCTGGTTCTAATACCATTTATAACAACTAAAGCCCTACTGATAGTCGACATTGTCCACTTTGACCCGTTATATATCACCGTTAATCGCACAATTTGAAAACGCGTTTGGGTAAGATATTAGTTCGAGAGAAAATTTGATACCATATTACATTACCATTAAACTTAAAAACATGAATAGATCCAAATCAACTCTACATTGAGTCAGGTAGCATGATTGATGTGAGGTTCATCTCACCTTGCCCAACACTAGTAAATCATAAAGGTTAGGTCGTTTAGCAAACCTACCACGTTCCGTAGAAGTGGCGTGTGAGAGAATATGTTCTTATCCACAATACATATTATCGTAAAAACAACGAAACCATAGTTCTAATTTGAAAGGAGAGAGTATTGATTGGAACTGGAAGTAGGGATGGGGGTAGGCACATAGAAAGTAGTAGAAACAGTGGTAGGAAGGTTAGGTAGTGGAGAATCCAAAAGAGGTAGCTTTTTGGTTAGCATGAAAGTGGGCATGGCATAAGGCTTGTTTGGTTTTGCAAACAGTAAATGGGTTCTTGCATTTGCATGAAGTGAGCTAGCTTAGTGAGTAGCATAGGCGCACACACACACACACAAGCACAAGCACAAGAGGATAAACAAGATTGAATGAGTAGTAATGGGAAGAGGGCTTTGTTGTCCCCCTCCCCCCTTGCCTTAAGGTCCCTACATCCCCATCATCCCCATATCCCATATAAATAATATGCATATAAATCCCCAATTTCTTTACCCAAAGCCCATTTGAGATAATGGAGCCTAATCAGTTCTCTGTTTACTGTGAAGGGAAAGGGGAGAATGGGAGCATTGATTTGGGGCTGAGCCTGAGAACGCTGCAGCCAGAGGTGGTGGGATCAATAGAAGGGTATGGGGAGGAGGATGAGCATGGGATCAACTGGGGGGCGGCGGATCACACGGCGGCGGATCTGTACATGAACATCAACATCAACATGAAACATAGTAATAATAATAATGGAGTGGTAGTAGTAGAACAAGATTACTACTGTTGTGAGGAGGAGGAGGAGGCAGAGGAGGTGGTGCAGAGCAAACAGCAGCGCTGGGCTTATGTCAAAGTCAATATGGATGGTGTCATTGTTGGTAGAAAAGTTTGCATCTTTCAACATGGCTCCTATTCCAATCTCGCACTTCAGCTCGAAGACATGTTTGGTATGGTTCATTTCTTTCTGTCGATCACTGAACTATGTTTGAATTAGCTTTTAATTCATAATTTGACGTGTTAAGGAGTGGACAAAGCTTAATTTTGATCTGGGTCTCTTTTTTTTTTTTTTTTTGGTTAGGTTAGTTTGGTTTGTTCGAGTTATTTATTTAAATACTTATACTGTCTATGTTTATTGGTGGGATCAGGTCGACAATGTGAATCTGGGTTGAAATTGTTTGAGAATGAATCTGAATTCTCACTCTTTTACAAAGATGGAGACGAAAATTGGAGGAGTGTTGGTGACGTCCCGTGGAAGTAAGTTTATAACAATCGTTCGATTTACTTAAATGAATCAAATTAATTTGAGTGTTAGTTTTAAATTTTTGATCTAATTTGGTGACTTGGTTTTGTTGGGAAACGGACAGGCAATTTGTGGAGGATGTAAAGAGGCTGAGAATTGCTCGGAAAGATGAGGGTTTTGTTGCCATTCATCAAAATTAACTTAAAAACTTTCTTAATGGAATTATATTTTGTGTTACGTTGGAAGCTTTGGATAAATTATCTAATTTTAAGGAACCTTTTATAACAAAATCTTCCAATTATTCGTGTTTATATTATATACTTTATCTCTGATTCCTCGATTTGATGATTTATGTTCAACGGGTAACCTAAATATTAAACGGTGTGCTAAGAAAATGTATTATTCAGTCATAAACTCGGTGTTGGGCTCGATATCATTAGCTTAAAATAACATATACGTACGATGTTACATAATGACGTGTTTCTCTCCGTCAACTTGAACTTAGCTTAACGACCATATGTCTTCGATTAATAGGTAGGAGATTTTAGTCTTTCGCTCCTATTATAACAGCCCAAGCCCAAACCCAAACCCACCGTTAGTAGATACTGTCTGTTTTGACCCGTTGTAACGGCCTAAACCCACCGCTAGCAGATATTGTTTACTTTGGCTTGTTATATATCGTTGTCAGCCTTACAATTTTAAAACGTATCTACTAGAGAGAGGTGTCCACACCTTATAAGGAATGTTTCGTTATCCTCTCAACTAATGTAGGATCTCGCAATCCATCCCACTTGGTAGCCAGAGGTTTCCACACCCTCATAAGGAATGTTTCGTTTCCCTCCCCAATGGATGTGGGATCTCACAATCCATCCCACTTGGTGGCTAGAGGTTTCCACACTCTTATAAGAAATGTTTCGTTCCCCTCTCCAACCGATGTGAGATTTCACAATCCATCCCCCTTGGGGGCTAGCATCCTTACTAGCACACCACCTTATGTCTGGCCCTGATACCATTTGTAAGAGTCAAGGCTCACTGCTAGTAGATATTGTCCGTTTTGGCCAGTTACGTATCACCATCAGCCTCACAGTTTTAAAACGCATCTACTAGGAGAGAGGTTTCCACACCCTTACAAGGAATGCTTCGCTCTCATCTCTAACCAATGTGGAATTTCACACTCATTCTCTACCGTCCGCCTCCTTAACAAAATGAAAAATTTGAAGCCCAAAGCTGAAAACACGGCCAATTCTGCAACATCAGTTAGTTTGTAGAGAGAAGCAACCATTGATTTTGGAGAGTGATTGATAAAAATAAGAATGAGAAAGCAAATCCTCAACTCGAATGACACTGATTTTGTTCAAAACAACATAGAACTTTTTGAGTGTCATATAATGATATGTTTTGTGGTTCAGTTTGGAGTGACACCCAACCTGCTCAAACCATCACAAACATGTCTCATTGCCGGTCTTCTTTCTGGACTATTTTGAACACAACCTAATGCCATCTTCAAAACCTCGATGATCTCCTCATCCGCATCATCGTCGGGAGCCAAACTCGGGTCTATCACGTCCGAAAGCGGCTTCTTTTCCTCAATACAGAGTTGAATCCATTGAACAAGATCCATTTCCGAGGCTCCCACCTGAACTATAGGCAACCTTCCTGTGATCATTTCGAGTAATATCACACCATACGAGTACACGTCCCATTTCTGCGATGGCTTCACGACTTTGAACGATTCGGGAGCTTGGTAGTAAGTAATCATACTAGAACTGAATGTACTAGCTTCAGAAGTGGCAAACTTTAGTTGTTTTTCTTCTGCCATATGACTCGATTGCACGGTCGGAGTACCTCCAGCAATGTTAACAAGGCGGGCAAGCCCGAAATTCGAAATATGTGGTATCATGTCGTGTCCAAGAAGTATGTTGTTGGTTCTCAAATTACCATGAACATACTTTTTGGGGCTGAACTCGTGCAAGTAAACCAACCCTTTCGCAATGCCTTCCATGATCCTTAACCGAGTAGACCACGGTAGCGGTGTAAACGGTGTCGTTCCGGGCTTCCCTGATGACGTTTTAAGATTTTTATATATGAATCAACAAAAGATATGAAGTTTTAGGTGCAAAAAAGTAGAGAAAAGTTACCATGAATGGCAGATGCAAGGTTCCCATTTGGTATGTAATCATAAATAAGCAGTTTTTCATCAACAGACCAATAATATGCTCTGAGACTAACAAGATTTGGATGCCTCAACTTCCCAATTGCTTCAACTTCAGTTTGAAACTCTTTGAATCTTTGAGAACCTCCTTCACCCAATCTTCTCACAGCTAAAGTGAGTCCATCGTCAAGAACAACTTTATACACTATACCGATACCGCTTTTTCCCAAAACGAAAGCCGATGCCTTGAGAAGTTCGTCGAGATCAAACGTGACTCGTGAATCCAGAGGTACCAAATCAAACTGCTCGATATGCTCCGAAACGTTCTCGGATTCACCCTTTTGAAAGCACAGACAATGCTTTCTTCCTTTCTCATCCTTCTCTAAACCATACTTAGATTGGTCTGCCTTCTTCCCATTTCTATGAATCCAAAACCTCAAATAGCAATAAGATAACATAACACCAATCAGGCAAATACCAATGATATCACCTATGATTATTGCAACCAAACTGCTCTTACTCACCCCTCCTTTCCCATACTTATTACCATTGTCTGGTGAAGATAAACTTGCAGCCGGGGCTTCAGAAGAACATGGATTCTTCAATGGCGGTCCACAAAGGCCAGGATTCCCAATGAAAGCTGTTGGTCCTCTGTTCATAAGAGCACCATTTTGGGGGATTGAACCACTCAGATTATTATAAGTAAGATCAATATAAACCTTTTCAGGAAGGTTTCCCAGGGTGGGTGGGATAGAGCCGGAGAAGAGATTATGAGAGAAATCAACAGTGCCTTGCAAGCTAGACAGATTACCAATATCCACTGGAATTGAACCATTGAAGTTATTGTAAGAAAGATCCAAATTTTCCAAGAAATTCAAACTGGAACCAAACCCATTAGGCAGGGAATTGGTAAGGTTGTTATGAGTAAGATCAAGAATTCTCAATCTTCTGCATTGCATCAAGGAAACAGGCAACGACCCATTAAAGAAATTGTGAGATAAATCCAAGATTTGAAGGTTTTTGAGGTTACCAATCTCATTTGGCACAGACCCAGATAAGGAATTACCATAAAGCACCAAACTTTGGATTCCATTAGCTTCGAAAAGCTGTAATGGCAAGGCTCCATGGAGGTTATTACTCCTCAGATTCACATGACGAAGCTCGGAGAGAAACCCCAGAGAAGAAGGAAGAACACCGTTGAGTTTCTTGTTGGGAATGCTGAGAGAAACAACTCTTAGATCCTTGCATGTAACACCATTCCAACCACATGGGGTTTCATCAGAAGAATTCCAGTTGCTGAGAGAGGCGTATGGGTCTTCAGAAATGGACTGTTTGAAAGACAAAAGAGCAATGCGGTCATCGTTCAAAGACGCCATGGAAAGACAGATGTTGCAGAGGAGAAAAAACAGGGGAATGGAAGGGAACTTAGCCATGGTGACTTGAAATTGAGGAAGGGAAAACCCTTGACAGTGAGGGAAGTAGAGAAAGCTTTTTTGCAGACCAGAAGTCTAAAGGGATTCCCATTCCACGAGGACAAAAGTGTGTTAACTTCTAGTGAGTAATATTTAAATATTTTATGGTTAAAAGAGAAAGCAAAGTGATTGATGATTAAATTAACTTCACCATATATATGCAACGTTTTTTTATTTTTTATTTTTTTAATAGTTCTAAAAAGAAAAAGAAATGTTAATGGCTTTGTCTTGTGCTTCCCAAAAAGCCTCGTACTAATAGAAGGAGTATTCTTTGATTATAAATCCATAATTATTCTCTAAATTAGTCGATATGGAACTTTCGTCATCCAATGATAAACACAAATATTGAACTACTATTTGCTAAAATTTGATTACCAACATAAAATTATATGTACTAATAAAATGGATTTTTATTCGAATTGAACAACAGTTGGGTCCATAGCTCAGTGGTAGAGCATTTGACTGCAGATCAAGAGGTCACCGGTTCGAACCCGGTTGGGCCCTAATTTTAATCTCTTTTTCGGTGGGACCCACTGCGACAACTCTGTGGCGATCTGGGAATGATCAGACGGTCGTGGTTGAGTATGTAATCATCAATTATGAAGTGTTAAAGTGCCACATCATAATTATGATTCTGTCGTTCTGGGACCCACTTTCCATCCATTTACGACTTTTCTTTTTTAAATTTGACCACACAAGGCCAGTTCATCTGATTAAAATAAATCCAACGGTTGGGATCTTCTTGCTGACCTGGTACGCTCGACACCACGTGGGGACCCGGAGAGTAATAAAACAGGGTTCACGACACACGAGAAAGACCGGAACGCTAAAAGGGAGGAAATTTGGCATGTGAATGGGAGAACTAGCCGTTTCTGGAATGGTGAGTCAGTTCCACGTGTCCGACGCGCTTCGGGTTCAGAATTGAGAGAAGGAGAAAATTAAGGGGCTGAAATGAAAATAAACTCTTTTATAAGGCCCTACCTTCGAATTTAATGATGTGTAGGGACCATGATATTAAATTCTTCGAATCATATTTCTTATATCTTTAATTTAATATTTTATTATACCTCGGGTTTATAATTACCCCTAAACCTTATTGGTTTGTGGACATAATATCTGAATTCCTAACCATATTTCAAAAATATCTTTAAAATTTAATAAATTTTATTAATACATTTCAAATTTTATTAAATGTTTAAAATAAAAATACCCGATATTAAAAAAAAATATTTACTATCAATATACTAACAAAACCGTCTTATCTCCTTAATTTTAAAAGTTGATGAATATTTTTAAAATGTGGTATAATTCGTAAGGATATTTTGAATTTTTTTTTGCAATAAAGGTGTTTTTGAAGTTTTAAAACAATTTGAAAATTAAAAAGTAATTTAAAAATAAAGTATTAATAATTTACCTCTAAAATTAATTTTTGTTAATTTAGAAAAAAAAATTATAAGTTTGGACGTGGAAAGATTAGAATCACCCGTAAATGTGACAATTAGGTATTTCTTTCGGAAGGATACTCAAATTATTTAATTTTCAATATACGAAACGGATAATTATGTTCTTAGTCATCCCATTATCTAATACAACTTGGATACGATTTTACCCAAAAAAAAAAAAAATCAAAAAGTATGTAGCACTAGTATCCAATGTGCACTAAAAGTGCTTAAAAATAAAAATAAAAATTAAAAAATTAAAAAACAGTGTCCCCTTTTTGAAGAAAAATAAAAAATAAAATAAATAATGGTCCCAAATGTTGACTTTTGGCCCCATCGAAAGGCCATGTTGACATGTCCCGACACCTAAATCCAATTGCTGCTGCCTGTCTTTACACTATTTTATAAACCCCTCTCTTACTCAAACCGCCCAACCGTTTAAATAACTAACCTTTATTTCCTTATTTTAACTCTTTTTTTTTTTTTATATATATGAACTCCAAATTAATCCTTCAATTTGATTAAAAATATATATAATATTAATAAGATTCACACGTGGAAATGCAAGAACCATCTATATTTGACCCACAAATGGATAAATACAACTATTACAATTTTTTTTTTTAATTTCATTTTTATCGAGTATATTAATTTCTTTTACATATTTTCAACTCGAATAACACTAAAATCGCTAAAAAAAGGGAGGAAAATTACACGGGGGCGGAAATTGGGTTGCATTTGTTTTGCGGTCACCGGATCAGACGCGCCGCCGTCTCATAATTGGGTTGCGGCGGGAGGCGGAGAAGGAGAGATCAACCGCCGCAGCCGGCTCCACAGCCGGCAGCACATGCGGCACCGTATGTATCAGAATGTGAGGAGGTTTTATCCTTGGGGCCGCCGCCGGTGCAGGAGAATATGACGGTTGAAATAATAGAAATGGAAACGACCGCCGCCCATAATATCAAAACCGTCGGAGCGTTTATGAATCCTCCGCCGCCTTCGCCGCTGAAATCTCTCAATACCCTCACCATCTAAAACCCCGCCGCTTCTCTCTATCTTTAGGGAATGGATTAGAACTGTGAAGCTGTATTAATGAAGGGCATGTAAAGGTGTTAAATATCTGGTCCAAACCACAAACCAATGATATGACACCACGTGGACATGAAAATAATAATAATAATAGTAGTAATAATGATAATATATGACCAGCTTTTGTTGACTTTTTCTTTGGACAAATTACGGTCGAAGCCCTTAATACGAAGACTCATTTTTTTCCATCATCAAAGTCAGCTTCCACATTATTATTATTATTCGGTTTTTATTTATTTCGCCGACTTAATATTGTTAAAAAAAAAAAAAAAAAAAAAAAATTAATATTTAAAAATATGAGTCCACATTCAAGGGATGGTTGGTCAAATTGTGGTTCAAAAAGTCAACGGTGGAATTTATGGATGAATATTATTAATTAATTTGGAATTAAAATGATTTAGAGATGTAATTTTGAAATTAAAAAGAAACTTGGAGGTGCATATGGTAATTTCGTACCCTATTATTCTGAAGCTAATTTGGGAATAATCGTATATATAAAAAAGCAGTGGATTTAAAATATATTCCCGTTTTTTCCTCACTTTTTGTGGTTCTTTTTCTTTTTTTAATTATTCTTTTGCTTGAATTGAAATATTTTGATGGAAAAAGAATATATTGTTTAAATTAATTAATTAATTTAGAAAATTTTAGGATTTAAATTAATAGAATTATTAATTTGAAATTTTGAATGATATATAGAAGAGTTTTGAAGGACGTAATGGAAAAGAAAATTAGAGTGAGGGTAGCATTGCAAATAGCTTAAAGTTATGGGCACTACAATTTTGAAAGAAGTTGTGGTGTTTGAAAAAGATGTGTGAAAGTGGACTGTTTGAGATTTCAAAATCATGGACATTTGGTGGAGTCTACCATTAGATAAAACAAAACTTATTATTGACGGTAAGCATGTTGATCATGTGATAGGAGCTTAGTTACGATGAAGGCACGTTAATAGCATGACCTAATAAGTAATAATCATGAGTGCATGCGTAGAATACGAGAATGTTAAGAATTCTTGATTAGTATATAAATTGTATTACTCCGGTATATGAATACAAGCTTGATCCATATAAAATCTAATGTTGTATGATAATACAATGTAGGAACTGTTAGAGGTTCGAGAAATGAACTCCAATAATGGTTAGGCCTTACGTACACCTATAGTTGGATGAATGATAAGATGAGGAGGGCATGTCACCCAATTAATCTACTAAACCCCGTAGAAACTGTGATTGATGCACTGAATGCTAATATAGGGACAATGAGTATTCCTAACTATCAGGATTATGTGCTAGTTCAAGTTGCCGAAGTATCTAGTGGACATGTCATATTTGATCGAGAGCTAATCTTACGTACTAGTCTGAAATTCATATTTTAGATGTCATACGAATTTAGTATAATAGTATACGAATTTGGAAGCTATGAAAAAAATAATAAAAATCCTTAAAATAAGAGACACTTGAATAAAGAAAGCAAAAGAAAAGAAAAGGTTGGTTGATGATTGATACGAGTGGCTTACACTTTGTTCTCCTTCTTTCACTAAAAACAAATACTTTTCCAATATTATAATAATAATCTCAGAAGCCGAAGCCGAATCCAAAGCTCAAACACACTACGCCTTGTCAATTTGAGCATTTTGTTTGAGATCATGAGCAGGCGCCGCCAAGCCCACCCCCCCTTCATTCTGCTGTTTCTGCCACCCTCCAGTGTCAGCTTTCGAATGCGCCCAATAGTATGATATCGAACCCACCATCGACAGTACCGTCATGGCCCCGGCGCCGGCGAACACCCCCTTCCGGAGAGTTGCACACGACAAATCTTCGCCGCCAAACGCCGCTCTGTACTTTGTGTGGTACGCATTCCTCGCAGATCCGGCCAACAGTCCAATCTCTGCTCCCACAAAGCTGATCCTGAAAAAAACAGAGTATATAGACAAATATCGCCGTCAAAGTTGGATTTTTCCTTGATGGGGTTGTTGGGTTTGAGTCATTTTCAAAACCCAATTGAATAAATTAGCTGATTTCCAGACAAAGATCTCAAATTTGGAATACATTTTACCAGGAAAAGACGAAGAAGAAAATGGCGACAGTGGTGGCTTTTCCACTAATTAAACCCTTCCCACAGCAGAAACATCTAGTAACGCCGTTAACCACCGCCTGGCTTATCAGAAGCAAACCGAACGCCGATAGTCCGTACACAGTCGATGCGTCGGTGCCGTACACACAGTACGTGTACTCATCGTACTCATCCGGCACAACCTTAGCCTTCACAAAAAGAAAAAAAAAAAAAAAAAAAAAAAAAAAAACCC